TCCTCTTTAATTTCTTTCAGCAATAATTCGTAATTTTCAGTGCACAAGTCTTGCACCTCCTTGGCTAAACTATTCCTATGTATTTAATTCCATTTGATGATATATTTTTAAAAGATTTTATTTATTTATTTGACAGACAGAGACACATGGCAAAAAAACAAAAAGGTAAAAAGGAAAAGGTGAAATTGATTTTATTTTTTTAAAGATTTTATTTATTTATTTATTTGACAGAGAGAGACACAGTGAGAGAGGAAACACAAGCAGGGGGAGTGGGAGAGGGAGAAGCAGGCTTCCCGCCGAGCAGGGAGCCTGATGCGGGGCTCGATCCCAGGACCCTGGGATCATGACCTGAGCCAAAGGCAGACACTTAATGACTGAGCCACCCAGGCACCCCATCCATTTGATGGTATTTTAAATAGAATTGTTGGGGGTGTCTGGGTGGGTCAGTCGGTTAAGTGTCTGCCTTTGGCTCAGGTCATGATCTCAGGGTCCTAGAGTTGAGCCCCCCATCGGACTCCCTGCTCATCAGGGATCTGCTTCTCCCTCTGCCCCTCCCCCCTGCTGATGCTCTCTTTCAAATAAATAAATAAAATCTTTAAAAAAATAGAATTGTCAATTTCATTTTAGATTTTTTCATTGCTACCATATAGAAACACAACTGATTTTTGTGTGTTGATCTCATATCCTGCTACTTTGTTGAATTCACTTATTAACTCTATGTGTTTTGTGTATTGTTTAGGATTTTTTATATGTAAGATTATGTCATCTGAGAATAGAGATAGTTTTCCTTCTTCCTTTCCAATTTAGATGCCTTTTATTTCTTTTTCTTGTGTCATTGCTCTGGCTAGGATTTCCATTACAATCCTGAATAGAAGCAGTGAAAGCAAGAATTCTTGTCTTGTTCCTGATGTTAGGGGAAAAGCTTTCAGTCTTCCACCATTTAGTATAACATTAGCTATGGGTATTTCATAAATGCCCTTTATTATGTTTGGTAATTCCCCTTCCATTCCTAGTTTGCTGTTGTTTTTTGTCAGGAAAAATTGGGTTTTTGCTCAATGCTTTTTCTGCATCAGTTGAGAGGATCATGTGGGTTTTTTCAGCTTTGTTTTATTAATTTACTGTTAAGTAATTTTCTTATGTTGAAGAATCTTTGTATTCCTGGGAGAATTCCTATTTGGACATGAAATGTAATATTTATGTGCTGCTGGATTCAGTTTGCTAAAATTATTTGAGGATTTCTGCATCTATATTTTTTTTTAAAGATTTTCTTTATTTATTTGAGACAGAGGGAGAGCACAAGCAGGGAGGAGTATCAGAGGGAGAGGGAGAAGCAGACTCCCCACTGTGCAGGGAGCCCAACACAGGGCTCATTGCCAGGACCTTGAGATCATGACCTGAGCAGAAGGCAGATGCTTAACCAACTGAGCCACCCAGGCGCTTCTACATTCTTTTTTTTAGAGATTTTATTTATTTATCTGAGAGAGTGAGTGTGAGCAAGTGAGAGAGAGAACACGAGTGGGGGGAGGAGCAGAGGGAGAGGGAGAAGCAGACTCCCCACTGAGCAGGGACCCTGATGTGGGACTCCATCCCGGGACTCCAGGATCATGACCTGAGCCAAAGACAGACACTTAACCAACTGAGCCACCCAGGTGTCCCTCTATATTCTTGTTTTAAAGATTTTTTGTTTATTATATGAAAGAGAGAGAATGAGTGGGGGGGCAGAGCGAGAGGAAGAAGCAGACTTCCCGCCGAGCAGGGAGCGCGATGTGGGGCTCGATCCCAAGACCCTGGGATCATGACCTGAGCTGAAGGCAGTTGCTTAACTGACTGAGCCACCCAGGCGCCCCGGCAAAACAATTTCTTAGAAAATTCCCCATAATACTATTACTCTGCTGTGTGATTATATAACAGACTTACACTGATTCCTATTTTAGTGTATTCAAGCAGATACAAATCCCAGGTGTTTTGTAAAAGATAATTTTCAACTTTCCAGGGTGCCTGGGTGGCTCAGTTGTTAATCATCTGCCTTCGGCTCAGATCGTGATCCCTGGGTTCTGGGTTCTGGGACCAAGCCCCGCATCGGGCTCCCTGCTTGGTGGGAAGTCTGCTTCTCCCTCTCCCACTCCCCCAGCTTGTGTTCCTTCTCTCACTTTGTCTGTCTCTCTCAAATAAATAAATAAAATCTTTTAAAAAAATTTTTTTTCAACTTTCCTTATACTATGTGCCATGGTTTAAATCTAGGCCTTTTGGGGCGCCTGGGTGGCTCAGTTGGTTAAGCGACTGCCTTCAGCTCAGGTCATGATCCTGGAGTCCCGGGATCGAGTCCCGCATCAGGCTCCCTGCTCAGCAGGGAGTCTGCTTCTCCCTCTGACCCTCTTCCCTCTCATGCTCTCTCTCATGCTCTCTCTCTCAAATAAATAAATAAAATCTTTAAAAAAATAAAAATAAATAAATCTAGGCCTTTTGAATAGGCATTACTATCATATTTCTCAAACTGTGTTCCTTTACCTTTAAATATGCTGTGCACTTTCCTCTGGAACCTAGACTTGTCAGGGTCTTAAACCCCACATGATGGATGTTAACATGTGTCTCAAATTCATACACAAGGAATTATTAATTAAAGCCTCACAGTTCATGCACACACACACACACACACACACACACACACACACACACACACACACACAGAGCCCACATTCTTGGAAGATTATTCTGAGGCCAGTAAGTGAGGCAGACTTTCAGCTGACTCTGGCCTAAGCTAGTGCTTCTCAAACTTCGAATTCTGATTCAGTAGATCCGGAATAGAGCCCAAGATACAGTATTTCTAATTGCTCCCAGGTGATGCTGATACTGCTGGATTAGCAAAGCCCTAAATGGCTTCCTCAACTTTGATGAGCCTTTTACAGGACCCCAAAATAGAAGACCACTTCACCTGCCCAGATTTAATCTCCCTTGTTCCATTCTTCTTCCAGGTGTTTGTCTCCTTCATGTATTCCATTCTCACATCTGTCTAACGAGAACGGTTTTATTTGTGTGTGTTGAATGCTGTTGAGAAATGCACAAAGCAAGATTAGAAGGCAGATATGATTGGGAGGAATTGCAATGTACCACTTGCCATGTACCTGTGCTTTTTCCTCCCTACAGGTCTTCTTTGGCAATGTGGATTCATCTGGGATAAAACACAATATTTTTAACCCTCCAATTATTGCTCGGTACATCCGTTTGCACCCAACACATTACAGCATCCGCAGCACTCTTCGCATGGAGCTGATGGGCTGTGATTTAAACAGTAAGTGCCAGGTTATCATGTGTCCTTCACTCTCCCAACCCTGGGGAGGATGACTAACTGAAGAGTAGGGGGATTTCCCAGGACACAAAACTATTAATGCTAAAACAAGCCCAGTCCTGAGCAAACCCAGGACTTGGTCATTCGAACCATGGGATTCCCTAGGGGCAGCGCCTCCCAAGGTACTATTAACAAGGCAAATCAAAGTCAAACAGAACTGAGAAGGGCTGACCCACAAATGAGGGGCAGGTCAGGTTAACAGTAACAGAATCAGTGCCAAAGTCAGTGCCTGAGAAATGACATCAGGATGACAGTTGCCCTGGGGCTGCCTCTTCTCCTGATGATTACATCCCTTTCATTTCTCTGAGGTTGCAGCATGCCACTGGGGATGGAGAATAAAGCAATATCGGATGCCCAGATTACTGCCTCATCCTACTTAAACAGTATGTTTGCCACTTGGTCTCCTTCACAAGCCCGATTGCACCTCCAGGGGAGGACTAACGCCTGGAGACCTCAGGTAAGAGGCAACAAATTTGCCATTTAACTGATGCAGAGGAGGGAGTACAGGTTGGGAAAGAATAGGGAAGGTCCTTGACTGTTTCTTTAGAGGCATTTCTGTCACCTGACTGTTCCCAAAAAAGTGTCAAGGGTGGTTGCCTCTGGGGGGAAAAATCCCCGCAGATGTCTAGTGGATGTGCCTTGTGATCTCACACAGCATTTGTGGGGGGAAATGATCCCTAATTGTACCTCCTAGAAGCAGAATCTCTATATGCAATCCTGGGCAGATGTCTGTGAAGGACTTGTAGTAGCTGAAGTAGTTTCTCGGTGCCTCAAAGTAAAGTGCCACAGCCATGTACAGTTCATTGGGCACAGTTGTTTTTCCAGAACCAGTGAATTTGTGATTTTCAGTCAGTGAATGGCTTTTGGTGATGAATGCAGTCAATGGTCTCTGCCTCTCCAAGGGGCTTACTTTAAGCAAAATAGCTTGTATAACACATTGCCGAACTTGTAATACTCTAGTCCATCTATATACGGCTCTATATTCATTTAGCCAACATTTACTGAGCACCTACTGAATGGCAGACGGATACAGGGATGAATCATGAAAAATTTCGGCAATGAAGTTGCTTAGAGTCTAATAAGGGAGTCTGACAAAGAGACCATTAAGATGCAGAGTGATACGTGCTATGACATGGTGAAGAAGAAAGGATGTGGGGATTTCTGGGAGCAAATAGTAAGCAACAGGATACTAGTCTAACTGACTTCCCCAGGCAAATAATCCAAAAGAGTGGCTGCAAGTGGACTTCCAGAAGACAATGAAAGTCACAGGAATAACCACACAGGGGGCAAAATCGCTCCTTACCAGCATGTATGTGAAGGAGTTCCTCATCAGCAGTAGTCAAGATGGCCACGACTGGACTCTTTTTCTTCACAATGGCAAAGTAAAGGTATGCTGGTCTCATGCGAAAGGCACAAGAGCTCTCCTAGGGCTTGACATTTAGAAACATAACGAGGTTGATACAAGATCAAACTTTCAAGATAAATTTTATTGAGTCTCTATAGTAATAGGACACCATGAAAGACATTTTGGGAGGACACAGTAACTCCAAGCAAGGACATACAATCCCAGGAAAGAGCAGAGTAGAGCCAAAAGTTGATTATCCTCATAGATGTTGATGTCATCCAGGATGATGGCAAGAATGAGAGTTACTTGCCAGATGTTTAAAGATGTCTGTATCCTCATCAGCAACTTAGAGTCCCAAGCCTCATTGATCTTTAACATATGGGACCCAGACAGTCTTCCTTCTTGATGTGGGTTTGCTGGATAAGTCAACAAATTATGCTAACTAGAGGACATGACAAAAGTCTTGCTATCCCATGAGTAATGAGGGAATGAATAGTTAATCTCTATGGTCTCTTTTCTATTTCATCAAGAATTAATCATGGTGTGGCCCTTACCAATTTCCTTTGCTCTCTAAGCTCCCCCCCATACTAAGAAACTCTCAGGTCCTTAAAAACAGCATGTTCTTTCTCATACCGGGCTTTTACATTCTACCTGTTTACATACTGTTTATTCTACCTAGAACAGTTCTCTCCTAGGTACTTAGCACTGCCCCTTTTACTTGGCTCATTCTTTAAGTCTCAGATAAACATCATCTCCTCCAGGAAGAATTCCCTGATCCTCCAATGCTGGATTAGACTTCTGCTTCTGGCAGTTCAGTGGATCAGAGTATAGATAATATGTATGCTACAGGACATTCCCATTTTTTAAAGGGTTTATCTCTGATACATGCTACCATATGGATGAACCTTGAATGCATTATGTTAAATGAAATAGGCCACACCCCATGGTGGGGCATGGGAAATGTGGTGTCCAGAAATAGGCCAGACATAAAAGGACCATTCATATGAGTGTATTAGTGAGGCTTCTCCAGAGAAACAGATCCAATAGAATGTGTGTGTGCATGCACACCTGTGTATGTTTGTGTTGTATAAAGAGATTATTGTAAGGAACTGGCTCATGATTATGAAGACTGACAAGTCCCAAGATCTGTAGGGTGAACCAGCAAGCTGGAGACCCAGGAGTACCAATGGTCTAGTTCCGGTCCGAGTCCAAAAGCCTGAGAACCAAGGTAGCTGATGGTGTAAATTCCAGGCTGAAGGCCAGCAGGCTCAAGACTTGGGAAGGGCCAGTAATTCAGTTTGAGCCCCAAAGCTGGAAAAGTCAATGTCCCAGTTCAAAGGCAGTCAGGTAAGAAGAGTTCTCTCTTATTCAGAGGAAGGTCAGCCTTTTTGTTCTCTTCAGGCTTTCAAAGGATTGGAAGAAAATCTGTTTTATTCACTCTACCATTTGAATGTTAATCTCACCCAAAAACATCTTCACAGACACACCCAGAATAGTGTTTGACCAAATATCCGGGTACCTCCTGACCTAGACAAGTTGGCACACAGAATTAACAATTATAATGAAGTACCTGGAATAGGCAAGTTCATGGAGACTGAAAGTAGAACAGAGGTTACCGAAGACTTGGGGAGAGGATAATGGAGAGTTACTGTCTAATGCATAGAGTTTCAGTTTTGCAAGATGAAGAATTCTGGAGATGGATGGTGGTGATGCTTGTACAACATTGTGAATCTATTTAATGCCACTGAATTGTACACTTAAAACTGGTCAAAATGGTTAATTATATGTTATGTATATATTACCATGATAAGAAGGCTATCTCACTTGTAGTACATACTTATTTTTTTAAAAGATTTTATTTATTTATTTGAGAGAGAGAGCAGGCAAGAGCACAAGGGCAGGGGGAGAGAGAAGCAGCCTCCCCACTGAGCAGGGAGCCCGACACGGGACTCGAGCCCAGGACCCTGGGATCATGACCTAAGCCGAAGGCAGACGCTTCACCAACTGAGCCACCCAGGCGCTCTATAGTACATACCTTTGTTGTTGTTGTTTTTTCCTTTCTTCTCCTAGTCTTTTATTTGTTAAGCAGTAGTCTTTAATAATAAATGCCAAAGGAAAGCAACAAACAAAAGCAGGGGTTTTGCATAGTGGATGGGAAATGACTGTGAGCCATGGCAGACCAGAAGTTCCTGTTTTGTTCTTTGGGGCCAGGAGTCTGCAATGTGGTGTGCTCATCTTTCTTCTCCCCCACAAAGGTCTCAAACAGCTTAGATGGGAGGCTGAACATGATGACTGGTCCTAATTTTTGCTATTCAACCATTTTTCTTGATCTTGCTCTCTAACTCCGTACATTCCAGACTGTTCAATGGATTTGTAATAAACTTCCAAGATGAAGGGAAATTTCTTGCTCATTGTTTGCCTGAAATCTTGGCTTGCATTCATCTTATTAAACAAAAAATATACTCCAAAAACGCCCAAGAGTTCAACTACTAAAACTCCTTTAAAGATCTTCTTTGCCACTAGTTCCATAGTGCGGGCCATCCTGAGGTGCTTACACGCAGGACTGCCTATAGTACATACTTCTTAATGCATTGTTACACTCGGTAAGGAAAGGGGACTCTCCAGTCCCCAAATAAAACCCCATGAGCTTTTATTTGAAAATAATGAGCTGAAATCAGAGCAAAGAGAGGTAAAATATGAGAAACTGTAAAATGGATGGCCTTTCCTAAAGGAAAATGCTTATATTAGTGTTGTTATTAGGAGACTAAGCTTTGAGCAAAATGCAAGGAGAACTGAACACATTAGGTAATGAACCCCAGAGGGAGCTAAAGTAGTTGCAGGTTAGTAGCACCTCCTGGCATCTGAAAGAACCATGCTCAAGTCCACTCAGAAGAAAGCACTCCCAGTTTAGGTCTCCGAGATTCCCACATCCTAAAATGATAAGGGCATAAATATTAGCAAACATGCAAGACAACAAACCAACTTGACTACAAGTGAGCAGAGGGGCTCCTGGCTGGCTCAGTCGGTAGAGCATATGACTCGATCTCAGAGTCATGAGTTCAAGCCCCCACACTGGGTGTGGAGCCTACTTTTTTTTAAGATTTTATTTATTTATTTGAGAGAGAGAAAGCACAAGCAGGGGGAGTGGGAGAAGGAGAAGCAGACTCCCCACTGAGCAGAGAGCCTGACACGGGGACTCAATCCCAGGGCCCTGGGATCATGACCTGAGCTGAAGGCAGACGCTCCACCAACTGAGCCACCCAGGCGTCCCGGGTGTGGAGCCTACTTTAAAAAAATATTAATGAAATTTTAAAAAACAAGTGAGCAAGAACAATCAATACAGAGTTAGTATTGAAAACCTTCAGATATTGATGAACTATGAAAACATAAAAATAAATGACAAATTATCCAAAAGTATTAGGCGGTTTTGGGAAAACAAAAGTACTTTTATTTTTTTTTAAAGAATTTATTTATTTATTTGAGAGAGAGAGAGAAACAGCATGAGAGGGGAAAGGGTCAGAGGGAGAAGCAGGCTCCCCGCTGAGCCGGGAGCCTGATATGGGACTCGATCTCGGGACTCCGGGATCATGACCTGAGCTGAAGGCAGTCACTTAACCAACTGAGCCACCCAGGTGCCCAAACAAAAGTACTTTTAGAAGTGAAAAAGCATAGGGCTGCCTGGATGGCTCAGTCGGTTAAGCCTCTGCCTTCGGCTTGGGTCATGGTCCTGGGGTCCTGGGATCGAGTCCTGCATCGGGCTCCTTGCTCAGCAGAGAGCCTGTTTCTCCTCTCCCTCTACCTACCGCTCCCCATGCTCGTGCTCTCTCGCTCGCTCACGCTCTCTGTCAAATAAATAAATAAAATCTTTGAAAAAAAAGAAATGAAAAACATAGTTGTTGAAACTTGAAAATCAAAGAAAGACTTAATAGCAGATTAGACAAAGAGACAAAGAGAATTTAGTCAATTGGAAGATACAGCTGAAGAAATTACCTAGGATGGAGCACAGAAGACAAGACATATAAAAGGAAATTACATAACTGGAATCCCAGAATGAAAGGGAAAATATAGTGGAGAAATGGCAAAATGTTAACTTTAAAAAGAAAACTGCCAGTTATTTTACCTGCAAAAATGGATTGTTTTGGAATAGCAGAGAATTCCAATCTGGAACAAGCAAGCTAGGGCCAAACCATAGGCAAGTCTGTAGAACAAAAGAGAAGCACACCCTTTTAATACAGAAAAGGGGGGAGTTGGGAGGAGCTGTTATAAACAAAAAGTCCATTGGAATAAACTGGAAGTTGGAAGTATACTGGTTTCTCACTGGCTGAGTTGTGACTCTCTCTTATTGGCTGGGCTGTTGTGGGGATGAGGGTGGAGGAGGGGTGAACTTTCCTCCCTCCTGCTCTGGTAGAGTAAAGTAGTAAAGAAAGTGGTTTCCTTTTGTTGTATTTTCAATTGAGGATAAGTGGTAAGGTGTGAGAGCTCACCCTGCTGGCCTCCTGACTCCATTCTAAAGGAGGTTTCCTTTTATTAATTTTCACAAAACAAACAAGGACTAGCACCTTTGCCACTTCTATTCAACATGTTACTGGAAGTTATAACCAGAGAAATTAGTCAAGAGAAAGAAATAAAAGGCATCTAAATTGGAAAGGAAGAAATAAATCTTTCTTCACCAGTGCTATGAATATATATTTTTAATTGCATAAAACTACCCATAACCCACCTACAAAATAGCTAGAATACAAAGAATACAAAGTTTCTATTTACAAGTAAGTAGAAAATAAACATGCAGAGCCAGCTGAGCTAGCTCCAGAGCTCACTCTGGAAAGTCTAGGAGAGACTGTGCAAAAAAAAGAGAAAAGGTCAGTGGTGAAAACAAAATCACTTCTGGAAAGAGAAATTCCCACCCTGAGTGGGATTGAAAGTATGTAGGACTAGAGGTGACACTGTTTCTGGTGAAGGGCGTTACATCTGTTGGAGGCTTGGTGATGAACAAGAACAGAAATCAACTTGTGGAAATCAAGTGTCCTATAAAAGCAAAAACATCACAAGACGCGAGCCCCTTTCTGTCCCATCTATTAAAGAAATTGCACTTCACTTTATCAACAGTAGAGGGTGCTCCTGGACTAATAAACCTAATACTCCACCCAACTTTCTTATCCCTGCCTACATAAAATCATCTGTTATTTCTGGATCAAGAAATTATAATTTCTAAATGAACAGAAAACAGCAAACGAGGTAAAAGGTGTTATTGTTCTTGATTTTTCACTGCCTCCTTCCTTGAAATCTCCATTGTCTTTGGGCTTGGCAATAGTACTCATTTGGACCAATGGAATGTGAGTCCAAACAGAAACTTTAAATGTGTGTGTTTGACTCAGTCTCTTGTGCCTCCTGCCATGAGATAAAAATGTCCAACCTGAGAAGACACATGGAACAGGAGCCTCGGCCTGGAGCAGAGCTTCAGTGAACCCAGAGCACTCTTTCTCTCTAGATACCATTTCCCAGTAAAAGGAAGCTGGGATCCTTAGAAAAATTACTGATTCCAAAGCTGGAGCAAAGAAACTGCCAGGTAATCTTGGAACATCTCAGTGTGCCAGAATGCACAAACACTAATGGGGTCTTATGAAAAGGACACAAGAGCTGGATTGAAGGGGTTCCTGCTGGCCAAATTTGAGACAATTTGAGCATCAAAAAGAATAATGATGGTAATGGATTATAATACATATGATAAAGAAAGAATCCAGGAGTCCAGAATCCTAGTTTAAAATATAAAGGGGGAGGAGGAGCTTTTCTCCATAGAATTCCAGCTAAGAAATGTAGAAGAAATGACAAAATTAGGAAATCAATTTGCATTCATCAATATACTATTTAATACTTGTAGGGAACTTTAATGAATGCCGAAACCATTGGATGAAAGCTTGATGGGGAATATTTACACGGTCTCAAAGTATCAGCGCACAGATTTGTTAGGGAAGGGAAATGATCACCTTTATAACGGAGTGATCTGGTGGGCACCACCTTTACCGTGTGATCACCCTTTGCATCATCAACTTAGGGGACAAACTAGCATCATGTGTCCCCTGATGTGATGTAATGGGAAGGACACATCATGCACTGGGTTTTCTCACTAAAAATATTTAACCAAGGGGCACCTGGGTGGCGCAGTTGATTAAGCGTCAGACTCTGGTATAGGCTGAGGACGTGATCTCAGGGTTGTGAGATGGAGTCCCGTGTGAGAGTCCCTCTGCTCCTCCCACTCAGGTGCGCTCTCTCTCTCTCTAAAATCAATCAATCAATCTTAAAAAAAATATTTAACCAAAATCTAATAATGAGAAAACAGACAAATTTAGAATGTGGGTTCTACAACACAATAGTCCTAGACTTTTAAAAATGTCCATGTCGACCCCTGGCTCCAGCACCCGTGGGCCCGGCACCCCGGTACCTACAGCCGGAAGTGTCCCATCGCCATCGGGCTCGGTGCCGGGAGCCGCTGCCCCTTTCAGACCCCTGTTTAACGACTTTGGACCGCCCTCCATGGGCTATGTGCAGGCAATGAAGCCACCTGGAGCCCAGGGCTCCCAGAGCACCTACACGGACCTGTTGTCGGTCATAGAGGAGATGGGCAAAGAGATCCGGCCTACCTATGCTGGCAGCAAGAGCGCCATGGAGCGCCTGAAGAGAGGCATCATCCATGCCCCGGCCCTAGTCAGAGAATGCCTGGCAGAGACAGAGCGGAACGCCCGCACGTAACAGGACGCAACTCCGCCACCGAGTCTGGACCTTTCCTGGCCACTGCAGAGCACCTGCTTCTCCCTGGCCTTCACCCCGAGTTGCACTTCCCAACCTGGGCTTCCTGTCCTGTGTCCCTTGGTGGGTGCCCTCCAGGAACCAGGGGGGCTCTCACTTCAGTCGACAGCACTAATTGGGACTTTTTCGAGAGTTAGTAGCGAGGTCGCTGTGAGTCCCACCCATGACCTGCCAACAGTGTTGATCCAACTGGAGCTTGCTCCTTTCTGTGGCCCCCACCGCTCAGCACTTACCCAGGACTTTTCACCACTTTTCCCAGACCCCTCCCCTAGCAGGGCCTCCGAAGGCCTGTCACCTCCCTGCCTTGTCTCCTGGGCCATAGCAACTCTTTTTTCAGTGTCTTTTGCTAAATATGCCCTTTTTGTATAAATAAAAGATAATTTGGAGTTGTTCTCTCAAAAAAAAATAAATAAAAAATAAAAATGTCCATGTCATGAAGGACAAAAAAAGTCCAGATACTAGGAGTCTGTTCTAGATTAAAGGTGATTTAAAGAGAGATGATAAGTGAATGTGGTGTGTGGTTTTTATTAGATTCTAGATTGGAAAAATTGTATAAAAGGGTATCATACTGATAACTGGAAATTTAAAAATACTAGGCTATGTTATATCAATATTACATTGGGGGATATGATAATGTTATTCTGTGGTTATAAATACCATATTTTTAGGTTTGACATGCTGAAGTAGTTAGGAGCAAAATGACATGAGGTTTACAACTTCCTTTCAAGTAGTTCAGAAAATGTGTGTGTGTGTGTGTAAGCGTGTATGTAGAGAAATAGAGAGATAAAGTAAAAATCTCAATATGTTAACAATTACTGAATCTAGGTGAAGGATTTAAGTGTTCATTGCATTATTCTTTCAATTTCGTGAGGTTGGTAACATATTAAAATTAAAACTTGAGGGGACATAACAAGGAATAAGTCTAACAGAAGATATACAAGCCTCCAAATATACCATAAACATTTGTCAAAAAATCCCAGGACAGGGACTTTAATGTTTCTCAAGAGTTTCATCAAACACACAAACTTTAACAAGTGTTTATAGTGTATTTGCCATGTATATACATTATACTATATATTCTATGTGACCAAGGTCTCTGACCCTCATGGAGCTGACTGACATTGTATTGCTTTTATCATCCTAAAGTTAGTACCAAGAGGTGTGAAACCAACCTATGAAAGCAACTCACATTGGTTGGACTGTAGATACCATTTAGTGAGTGCTTATTGTGCACTTTCCTTGCAACAGCAAATGCCCTGGGGCAAAAGCCTGACTCCCACCTCCACATGGCTCAGCAGGCAGACGCGGGGTGTAACCTCGCACAAAACATTCAATTTCACTAAGATTTTGGCAAGTGGGTGAGAACATTCCAGATATAAGGCATAGCTGGAGCAAAGGCCTCCACAGCAGGCAAGCCAGGATCTCTTAATTCAAGATGTCACTTTCCCAGGCCGATGCATAGGATGCAGAGTCATCCAGTCACCCCCCCCCCCGCCCCACCCCGGTTCAGTCCAGGACTCCTGGAAGCATGGACTGCTCAATGGGAGTGGAAAAACGTCTGTGCGTTGCAATGGGCCTTGCGATAGATGCTAGTGAGGCAGAGGGCCCTGGTGGGGGCAGAGGTATGGGTTTGTGGCTGACACAGTAGGAGGCCAATGGACTCAGCGGCCTGGAGGAGCAGGGGAAGGGGGACAAACATTGTAATGTTCTTCCTGTCAGACAACTAATAAATGCTATCTTTCTTCTTTCAGGTTTTTCAGGGAAATCAAGACTCTTTCACACCTGTGGTGAACTCTCTAGACCCGCCACTACTGACTCGCTACCTTAGAATTTACCCCCAGAGCTGGGCACGCCAGATTGCCCTGAGGCTGGAGGTTCTGGGCTGTGAGGCACAGCAGCTGTACTGAGCGGCCAGCACCCCTCTCAGACTTGTCTTCTGCCTCCAAGCCCAGCCTCCAGGTTATTTCCTGCCCCACGATGTCCATGGCGCCATGACTTTTCTGTGTGGTTAAACTACACAGTCCTAGCAGACACTGCCCTGAAGCCTCCCAAATCAATTGTCATTAATCCTGCGTTTCCTGGGAGCGTTGCATTCAGTTGAACTCTTCACCATTTGGTGCAACTGCTCCCAGATTGGCTTTTCCTTCCCATGTTATGAGGAAAGGAGAAAACTCTGGAAAGCATTCTCCTCCTGACAAATTAGGTCTCTCACACAGCCACCACTTCCTCTTTTGTAGAAAAACAGTGTGTTTAAAGTTGGCAGAAGATATTCATGACGTAAGCATTTCAGATTAGGCTTCATACATTTAAAATAAAACTCTCATTTGTTTCTTATCCTGGTGAAGCATGGAGCAAAACATGTTTGGGGATCATATCACCACAGCCTTGAAGCCAAAGGCAAGTCATCTTAACAATCTGCAAAATGTAGATAATGTAAGAACCAGTACATAAAGTCTATTTTTGCCTCCTTATAGATATAGGTATAGATAGATACAATTATCTTAGTTGGTCATCCTGGGGCATTGTTAGTGGCATACTCTTACCTCAAAAACTAGTGTTTTTAGACTGAGACTCACAGGTGGGATTCAAGAACCGCCCCCCCATCCCCTGACATTATATACAACATTATGTATGAATGCATATATGCGTTTTTCTGACAACAGTGTCCAAAGATTTCATCAGAGTTTTAAAGGAGCGAATGGCTTTAAAGAGTTCAGTTTAATCTCAGAAGGATGTACAAATAAAGCCATTTGGTCTTAATTCTAATCAACAAGTAAAATAATAGGTTAGGATCACAGAAGTAAAATGACAATGTCCCCTTGAAATTTGTGGTGACCAAGAAAGGTAATAATCATAATAGATTTCTAAAGAGCATATTTTTAATATTCCCACAGAGAAACAAGGACAATCCATGGCTATCTGGGATAGGAGCTTCACCTGTATAATTCTAGTGATACACTCATTTTACTCCCTCCCTCAGCTAATTTCCTGCTGAAACACAGCAAAAATGAAGCAGGGGAAATTCTATACCGTGACTGGAAACTAGAGTCCCAATTACATAGTTGGAGTTTCAAGGAGTCAGAAGAACATTGAGCTGGTGAAAGCTGAGAGAAAACACTTCTAGTGTGCCACACCCACCACGCAGGACGAGCCTCCACCTTGCCCATGCTTTGTGCTCTGTGCGTGAGGCCGTGAAGGCTTTACTACTTCTTACATCTGCTTGCTCCCCTCACTATGACTCCACAAACATTTCCTAGATGGCAAAGGGGGCTAGAGGCAAGGATAAACCATAGAGCAGTTGGAGGAAGCATCCAAAGTTGGCAATCCAGAGCAATTTAAAAACAGGAGTTCCTAGTATAAGAGAAAAATGTATTACAATCTCAGAAGAAGTAAGAAAATAAATGCTTTTTTTCCCCAAGCTAGAGCATTTTCTAATAATCCTGCTTGACACTGATCTGACCTTTTGGGGGCATGTAGCACAACTGTCACAGTAGAATCACAAACCACAACCCATGAAGGTACAAAGGGTCATAATTCTGTAAGATTGTCAGGTTAGAGGTTAATTTACAGAAATCAATAAATTGTTTTTCTTAATAGCCTGGTAGAAAAGTTAAGCCCAAAGGTGATATGGTTTTATTTCCTGTAAAAGGTTAGTCACTCTTATGTCTAACTTAATGACCTTGTTTTGGCATTCTTTTCATATTGACTATATACATCTCTATTTCTCAAATGCTCTTGGCCCCAGGCCTTTTGTCTTCCTGCTGGTTTCCTCAATAACTAGTTAAATAAAATCTTGGCACATACAAACAAATGCCTTCGAGACCTGTGTTTTTACACTGGAAATAAAAACAAACAGAGGCACTGAATAGCAGGATGGACACTTTAGAAAACCAAATTAGTGAGTTAGAAAACCAGATTAAATTGAGCTCAGAGTAGAAAGTGATATCATTTACGAGAGGTAAAATAAAATTTTAAAAATTAGAAATGGAGCTTTGATCCAGGAGAAGACTTTGTATAGAGAGAGACTGAAAGAGAAATGGGAGCTGCAAGATGAATAAGTTCTAGAGCTGTGCTGTACAATATTGTGCCTGTGGTTAACAATACTGTAGTGTGCACTTCAAAATTTCACAAGGTGAGCTATGGTAAGTGTTCTTACCACAATAAAAATTCAAAGTTCCTGAAAGACCAGATTGGATGTGGTCAAATAAAACAATAGGAAAAACTTTGGGATAAAATAACAATAATAATCAAACAAATTTGAATCTTCAGATCAGAGTCTGTTAATGCAAAGCAAAATTAAAGAAAGACCGGAACAGGGGCACCTGGGTGGCTCAGTCGTTAAGCGTCTGCCTTCGGCTCAGGTCATGATCCCAGGGCCCTGGGATGGAGTCCCGCATCAGGCTCCCTGCTCCGCAGGAAGTGAGTTATTTGCAAAATCACTGAGATCATAGCAAGTTAATTTTCAGAAGATCAGGAAGCAAATTCACTCTCCTATGACAAATATAGTCTCTAAGTGAACAAATATAATTTTCTGTCACAAACATTTTATCAAACATAATCTCAAGGTTACAAGTCAACAATCTTTGGAAGATACATACTAAAACAAGTCTATTTTTCAATGTTATAGAGAAGTTTAGGGGCGCCTGGGTGGCTCAGTCGGTTGGGCGTCTGCCTTCGGCTGGGTCGTGATCCAGGGTCCTGGGATCGAGCCCCGCGTCAGGCTCCCAGCTCATCAGAGAGCCTGCTTCTCCCTCTCCCTCTGCCTCTCCCCTGCTCATGCTCTCTCTCTCAAATAAATAAAATATTTTTTTAAAAAAGAAAAGTTTAGTGTGCAGACTATATAGAAATCCAGCTTTATGATGACAAGATACAGATTTAGACTTAAGTTTATTGTTTATAAAATGTAACAATTTCTAACCTTCCTCGACTATCTCATCACAGGGTGATGACTGACATAGTGCTTCTAGAAACTTTGTGGGTACAATTTCATCCATATTGCGAACCAAGACTGAGACTATTTATAAAATTTTATCGAGGGATATCTTAAAAGACCTAAATAATTGGGATTAGAAGACTCAATGTTACAAAGATTTCCGTTCTTCACAGACAGATCTACAGATTCAACCAATCTCAATCTAACTTCCTGCATTTTCTCATTGTGGAATCAAGCATGTGGAAATGTAAAAGGCCAGAATAGCCAAAATATTCCCAATATCAGATAGCAACATTTATTTTATTTTTTAAGATTTTTTATTTATTTTTAAGTAATCTTTATAACCAACATGGGGCTCAAACTCACAACTCTGAGATCAAGAATCACATGTTCTCCTGACTGAGCCAACCAAGTGCCCCAGCAACATTTATTTTAAAGCTATAGTAATTGGGGCGCCTGGGTGGCTCAGTCAGTTAAGTGTCTGCCTTTGGCGCAGGTCATGATCCCAGGGCCCTGGGATCGAGTCCCACATTGGGCTCCCTGCTCAGTGGGGAGCCTGCTTCTCCCTCTCCCTCTGCCGCTTCCCCTGCTTGTGCTTTCTCTCTCTCACTCTCTGTCAAATAAATAAATAAAATCTTAAAAAAAAATAAAGTCACAGTAATTAAGACAACGTGGTATTGACACAAGTGCAGATCAATAGACTAGTGGAACATATTAGAATCCAGAAGTAGACCCACATTATATATGGACACTTGATTTATGACAAAATAGCTCTCCAGAACAGTGGTACAGGGTCAATCAGAAATCCATATGAAAAATTGAAATTTGGGGCACCTAGCTGGCTCAGTCAGTAGAGCATGGGACTCTTGATCCCGGAGTCATGAGTTTGACCCCCACCTTAGAGGTAGTGATTACTAAAAATAAGTAAATAAATAAACTTAAAAAAAAGAGAAAGCTATTTTTTTTAAAAAAGAAATTTGACCCCTTCCTCACACTATACAAAAATAAAATCAGTTTTAAGGTAATTAAAGCTCTCTGAACAACAAACAATAAAACTTCTAGGAGGGTCATGGACAGGTTTCTTAAACAGCATCCCGAAAACCACTAACCATGAAAGAAAAGATTGATAAATGTGACTACATTTAGATTCAGATTTTCTGTTCATTCACAGAGCGGGAGAAGATATTTGTACAATTGACAAATGGATATGGAGCTGGTGGAACTCTCTTCTGCTGTTTTCTGGAAAAGAGTCTGGCATTATCTACCAAAGTTGGGCATGTGGATGCCCTACGATAATTCTCTTGGGTAATGACCTAAGAGTAGAATTGTCATGTGAGCCATGAGACAGGGGAGCACCATCCGTAAGAGCTCCAAACTGGAAACCAGCTCTCTTGCATATGTTTCCTAGTGGCTCGTTTCTTTTTAAAGATTTTATTTATTTATTTGACAGAGAGACACAGCGAGAGAGGGAACACAAGCAGGGGGAGTGGGAGAGGGAGAAGCAGGCTCCCTGCCGAGCAGGGAGCCCGATGTGGGGCTCGATCCCAGGATCATGATGTGAGCCAAAGGCAGACGCTTCACCAACTGAGCCACCCAAGTTCCCCTTTAGTTGCTTATTTTAATTGCTGTACACTATTATGTTATTTGGTGTATATCACAATTTATCCATTGTTTTTCTGATAGAACTCTAATACATCATTTATGCTGGTTCTTCTATGGAGGGGATCCTCTTTTCTTAAAAATTAACTTGTATGATGGGGCGCCTGGGTGGCTCAGTTGGTTGAACATCCAGCTCTTGGTTTCGGTTCAGGTCATAGTCTCAGGGGTAGTGGGATTAAGGCCCAGGTTGAGCTCTGCACTCGGCAGGGAGTCTGCTTGAGATTCTCTCTCTCTGCCCCTCCCCCCACTCACCTGCATGCTCGCTCTCTCTGTCTCTGTCTCTCTCTAAAATAAATAAGTCTTTAAAAAAATTAATTTGTAAGAGTTCTTTGTATGTTGAGAATATTAACCTATTTGTCATATATGCTATGAAATGTATTACCTAATTTGTCATTTGTCATTTATATTTATTTACAATATTTTGTTTTATGAAAGCTTTACATTTTTTATGCAATAAATTTATCATCAGTACTTTCAAATATGGTTTGGGGTTTTATAACATGCTTAAAGTAGCTTTTTCCACACCAAGATTATAAAAACATTCACCCATATTTTATTCCAATATGTATATGATTTTATTTTTGTTTAGTCCTTGATCCATCTAGAATTTATTTTTTTTTAAGATTTTACTTATTTGACAGAGAGAGACACAGCGAGAGAGGGAACACAAGCAGGGGAAGTGGGAGAGGGAGAAGCAGGCTTCCAGCCGAGCAGGGAGCCCGATGTGGGGCTCGATCCCAGGACCCTGGGATCACGACCTGAGCCGAAGGCAGACACTTAATGACTGAGCCACCCAGGCGCCCCTAAATTTATTTTTGTGTGTAGGGCCTTTCCTTCAGTGCATCCAAATGAATAGCTGATCATATTAAACCATCTCTCTTTTCTCCACTAAAAAGAAATGCCACTTTTATCATTTATTAAAGTCCCATGTGTACACTATTGTAAAGTATAGTAGATACCATGTGGCAAATAAAATATCTGGGAATTCTTCAAGCCTAAAAGGAAACACAGATGTTTGTACATAGACAGAAAAAGATGCCTCTATGTTTAGCTGTCAGAGAGAGGTGAGGGGAGGGTCATATGCGTAGATGATATCACAAGGGATGGTAGAGTTCTATTTGGAATTTTAGAGACCTTAGGAGAAGACTCTGACCAGCGTCTTCTGTAGTCTAGTTCTATTAGACTGAAGCCTAATTCACTGGCTTCTTTGGATCCCTTGTCACTAAGTCAATTTTCAGGTAAGTGGCTTCCCACCTGACATGGGTCTCTTTAAGCCCTATCAAACAATAGATGAATGTATTAGTTATAAATGTCTTAAGTAATAGAAAGTCCAGATTAGGGGGCACCTGGGTGGCTTGGTTGGTGAAGCATCTGCGTTCGGCTCAGGTGATGATCCCGGAGTCCCGGGATCAAGCCCCGTGTCGGGCTCCTTGCTCGGTGGAGAGCCTGCTTCTCCCTCTGCCCCTTACCCTGCTCCGGCTCTCTTTATTTGAGAGCGAGACAGTGAGAGAGGGAACACAAGCAGGGGGACTGGGAGAGGGAGAAGCAGGCTTCCCACTGAGCAGGGAGCCCGATGCGGGGCTCGATCCCAGGACCCTGGGATCATGACCTGAGCCGAAGGCAGACGCTTAATGACTGAGCCACCCAGGCGCCCCTAAATAAATAAAATCTTAAAAAAAAAAAGTCCAAATTAGAATGGCTCAAATAGGGGTTATTTTTTCTCATACCAAGCAGCCTAGGGGTTATTTTTTTCTCATACCAAGGGAAAATGGTAGCACCATCTCTTTTACCAAGACAGGAGAAAGTCTTCCCAGAAGCTACCCAACAGATTTCTGTTAGTCCTCATTGTCCAGACTACGTCACCTAACCATTGCTAGCTGCAAGGATGGCTGGGAAAGGCAGGCTTCAGCTTTTCTAGTTCCTCCAGTAAGTGAATAAGGGATGGGAAGGACTGTTGCCTTAGGCAATAAAAAAAATTTGCTATCCATTCATTCATTGAAAAACAATTTATTGGGGCGCCTGGGTGGCTCAGTCGGTTAAGCGTCTGCCTTTGGCTCAGGTCATGATCCCAGGGCCCTGGGATTGAGCCCCACGTCGGGCTCCATGCTCAGCGCAGAGTCTGCTAGAGATCCTCTCTCTCTCCCTCTCCCTCTGTCCCTCCCCCGTTGGTCATTCTCTCTAAAAAACAGAAACAAAACCCCACCATTTTCTAACTTTTCAGACAAAGCTGCTGTGGAAAGAGCCAAGTAAAAGGACATCTCCCTTTGGCCAAACGAGCTAGGAGTACAGCTGAGTGGCCTTAAGGAGAATCCATGGAGCCCAAGAAGCTGCTGAACATTGGATTTCTGCTGTGTTCCATGAGTTGCCTCTTGTTGGAGACTGCAGCTTCCTCTACATCACCTTTATCTGCCTTTGGAATACAAGACAAAGCAGGATCGAAACCACGCTCAAGGGGTGTGTTTGCTGTCAGGATCAATGTTCCTACTATCTTTGTGAAACCTAAGACTCACGTCTCAGGTCAGGAAAAGCTGATTTTGTATTGAAAAATAGTGTTCACAGGGACACCTGTGTGGCTCAGTCAGTTAAGTGGCTGACTCTTGATTTTGGCTCGGGTCATGATCTCAGGGTCCTGAGATCAAGCCCCAAACCGGACTCTGCTTGGCAGGGAGTCTGCTTAGGATTCTCTCTCTCCTTCTCCCTCTGCCCCCGCCCCCCTGCTTATGCTGTCTCTCATTCTCTCTCAAATAAATAAATTAAATCTTTATTTTTTCAAAGATTTAATTTATTTATTTGACAGAGAGAGCACAAGCAGGGGGAGCAGCAGAGGGAGGGGAAGAAGCAGACTCCCCGCTGAGCAGGGAGCCCCACATGGGCTCAATCCCAGGACCCTGGGATCATGACCTGAGTCCAAGGCAGACGCTTAACCTACTGAGCCACCCTGAGCCACCCAGGGCCCCCAATAAATAAGTCTTTAAAAAAAAAGAAAAATAGTGTTTACAGTAAAGCAAACTATTCTGGTTTGGTCAACTTAGATCAACAAGTACTAACCCACCGACTGTGCACCAAGCCCTTTGCAGAATGACATGGATTAGGAGTTCACAGATGGGCAGCCAAACCCATAGATGCCAACCTTCTGTGAAATATGACAAAGGCTCCCTGAGGACAAAGGAATAATTAAAGTTGTTTGTGGGAAGGGGTTAGGGAAGACTTGTTCTCAAAGCCCAGCTGCTGACATGCACACATATAGTGCTCAGATCTTTTCACTATGACCTCAAAACAACCCTTGAGATATCTGGGGCAGAGATTATTATTTCTGTTTGACATACAAGGAGGCACAGATGATATTCATCCCTTGAAAGTCTTGGAGGCATCACAGCAAAGTAGTTAAGAATATGGGCTCTGGGGGCGCCTGGGTGGCTCAGTAGTTAAGCGTCTGCCTTCGGCTCAGGTCATGATCCCGGGGTCCTGGGATCAAGCCCCGCATCGGGCTCCCTGCTCCGCGGGAAGGCTGCATCTCCATCTCCCTCTGCTGCTCCCCCTGCTTATGTACGTGTGCTCTCTCCCTGTCAAATAAATAAATATTTTTTAAAAAAGAACATGGGCTCTGGGCAACTACAAGACCATGATATCTGGGACAATGATTTGAACTTGAACCAGGGTTCACATCCCAGCCTTCTCATGTACTTGATCTCTCCTCATTGAACATCTGTGCTTTTTCTGCAGAAAACCACAGGTTCTGGCTCAGTAACTTCAGAGATTACTTGTGGGATCTCATCAAGAGCTCCATACCTCCAGCAGCTATTTTTGCTTTTCTTCTCACCATAGTCCTAGAGGGGACCCTCTGCTGCCTCACGTAAGCTGCTGTGGGGTGAGGAGAGGGAGGGAGACCTGAGGGGGCAGCAGAGCAATCAAGTTCCCCACCAGCCTATACATCTATAATTACGGGAAAGTTTTAAGGAAGGTAATTCTTGTTTTATCCAACCCACCCCATCCATTACCAGCAACTTACAGGTAACATTGAATAACCAGCGTTTCCAGTTGATTTTTTTTCTTGCTAACTTCATTAACTCCTAATTATCTTTCCTTTTGGTTCAGGAATTATACATGGGAAATATACAATTAACTATGTTTTCAAGTGTCACAAATTCAAAATTCAAATTCAAAATTTGCCACAATATTTATCTATATAAACCACATGAAGTCAAAGAGATCCCTGAAATAGTTAACAAAATAAACATAGGTAGAAAAACCTTAATTTTATTAATCCAATCAGAATTGACCAGAAGATGACTACTTGCCTGTCTCTGTCCTAGTTGCTAGTGAGACAACTGAATACTTGTCTGGTGGGTCAATGCTATGGTGGGAGACGGAGTCCAAGTGGGAGAACCTATGAGAGAGAGCATGCTAAAGGATTGTTCAAACTGCACAATCTAATAAAGTGACTGAGGGCAAAGATCAGCTAAGGGTGTGGCATCCCCACCTAAGACTCCTGATAATCTGAAATGATCACAGGATCAAGAACCTGTCTAGGAAACTACCCTGGACATGGTTACTGACACATAGAACTGATTGGAGCCAAACAGATGTCAGCTAAGTTTTTGAGAGAACTGTATTGCCAAAGAAACTGTGAGCCAGAACTAAATGTGTGAGCCTTAAAACAGTATTTGGACCTCTGATCTTCCATGAGAAGGACACAGGCTTTGAAGTTTCCTAGGATGGCATGCTCCCCAACACTTGCTTCAGTCACAGCCACAGAGAATAATGGACAGGAAGAACCTCTGAGAAGGTGGGCAGTGGGCCACAGAGCTTCTCCTATAAAGCAGATCAGGCCTAATCAATATGTCTGCCCAGCAGGATTGCAAGATTACTTACAGAGCAAATGACTGCTGTGTGTCTCCCATTATTCATTTTTCCAAGTGGGAATGTTTATGGTGGTTATACTCTTCCTGCTCCATCCTTGTATTTGGGGTGTGGAGATCAGGAGCAGATAACTTGTTTTACTTAATAAGTCACTCAAACCAAGAGGAGCTGCATCCAGATTTGAGAGAACCAAGCATCACCCAGGTACTTTGGACTTTGAGCTGGATACAATTATAAACTGGATTTTCATCTCGTGATAAAATTGTGCCACAAGTCAGTTGTCGTGGAAGCGGACAGACAGGAGTTCTGTGTTCAGGGTATTATCAGGGATCAACACCTGTGGAGTGTGTGGGGAGGAAGGGAGAAGTCAAACTGCTTTGCAAGCCCAACAAAGCCTCCATTGACCCCATCAGAGTTGTCCTACATTAGCCTGAAGTGGCTAAAACTTTTTTTTTTTTTTGAGAGAACAAGGGATAGGGGGCAGAGGGAGAGAGAGAATCTCGAGCAGTCTCCACGCCCGGTACAGAGCCCGATGCAGGGGCTCGATGCCAGAACCCTGAGATCATGACTTGAGCCGAAATCAAGAGTCAGAGGCTTAACTGACTGAGCCACCCAGGCGCCCTTGAAGTGGCTGAGATTTTATAGAGGCTGTGTGTTGACAACACTCTCAGCAACTAGAGAAATAAGGCTCTTCTCAAGGGGGATCCCGAGTGGCATATTTCCATGTGCCCCACAGGGTGGCTGTATTCCACATATGGAAGGAAAAATGAAACAGATATCCGACAGAGAAAGGCTGCATTTCCCAACTAAAGAAGCCAGGACTCAAGTCAAGATATATCTGATTCTCCATCTCTTGAGTCATCGTTACTCAAACTCTGGCCAGCAAGCCAGCTGCATCGGAAGCATCTGAGGTATCGGTTCAACATACATATTCAGAAGGACTTCTGTGGAGATAAAGCAGGCAACATGCCAGAAGAAATACTTCCTTCTTTGAAGTAGATGCCTCAACCTGAGGAGAAGAACCATTAAGGCCTGGCTGGGAACAAGCAAGCTGGCTCGTGAAAGAAACACCAGTGAGGACAGTGAGGGCAAAACACAAAGGAGACTTTGATGAAGAAATATAAAAGGAGATAGGCAAGACAGGATTTAAAAAGCCAGAACCATTAAATAGACATAAGTAATTTATATAAAAAACCTTATTTAGTGATTAAGAAATATTTCCGTGAAACTAATATGAAAGGAAACACTGATAGATGCAGGGGGCACATAATTAACTTCTTTGTAGAAGAGGACCAAAATAATACAACAGGAAAAGAACACTTCGAGGTATAATTTTTTAAATGTTGCCATAATAAAAGAAACTTTGAGTCTATCGTCATAAAAGCACACGAAGTCCCAGGAAACATTGGCACTTGATACTGGGCACATAGTAGACTTTCAATAATACGGATTTTTTTATTATTTTTATTTTTTTAAGATTTTTATTTATTTATTTGAGAGAGAGAGAATGAGAGATAGAGAGCACGAGAGCGAAGAGGGTCAGAGGGAGAAGCAGACTCACTGCTGAGCAGGGAGCCCGATGCGGGACTCGATCCCGGGACTCCAGGATCATGACCTGAGCCGAAGGCAGTCGCTTAACCAACTGAGCCACCCAGGCACCCAATACTAATTTTTTTTTAAATATTTTATTTATTTATTCATTTATTTAAGAGAGAGAATGAGATAGCGAGAGTACATGAGAGGGGGGGAGGGTCAGAGGGAGAAGCAGACTCCCTGTTCAGCAGGGAGCCGGATGCGGGACTCGATCCCGGGACTCCAGGATCATGACCTGAGCCGAAGGCAGTCGCTTAACCAACTGAGCCACCCAGGCGCCCCCAATACTAATTTTTTTAAAAAAAGATTTTATTTTTAAGTAATCTCTACCCCCAATGTGGGGCTTGAACTCACAACTCCAAGATCAGGAGTCGCATGCTCCATCAACTGAGCCGGCCCAGTGCCCCAATAATACTGATTTTTTAAAAATACATTTCCCTAGGGCCTGGGTGGCTCTGTCAGTGAAGCGTCTGCCTTTGGCTCAGGTCATGATCTCAGGGTCCTGGGCTCAAGGCCTGCATCGGGCTCCCTGCTTGGTGCGGAGTCTGCTTCTCCCCCTCCCTCTGTGTGCTCTCTCTTTCTCTGTCTCTCAAATAAATAAAATCTTAAAAAAAAAAGAAAACATTTCACTGTGAGGATTGGAAAGAGTTTCTCTGTGCCTCTTATCCTATACAGCACTAGCTAAGTGCTTCGTTGCCTGAGGAAATCATCATGGAAGCCTTGTTCATCTCTCAGGGCTCTGGTGGCAATTAGGGACGCTGACTGGCGCTAACAAGTATGCAAAGAAACATGTATAAGGAATTTTTAGTATGATTTATAATAGTGAAAAAATAGAAACAACTTAAATGTCCATTGGCTGGTTAAAGAAAGCACCGAATGTTCATACCATGAGTACTATGTAGTCACCAAAATGTTGTTGTAGAGGATAATTACATGGAATCATATTCAAGAAATATTAAGTGGGAAAAAGCGGATTATAACAGAGGATATACAATTTAAACTAATTTGTTATTAGAAACTAAGGGCACCTGGGTGGGTGGCTCATTCGGTTAAGCATCAGACTGTTGATGTCAGTCTGGGTCTTGATCTCTGGGCCGTCAGTTCAAGCCCGGTGTTGGGCTCTGCTATCATGGAGCCTATTTAAAAACAAAAAAAAAAACAAAAATTAATTTAAAAAACTATACATACAGGGTAAAAAGCTTTTAAGGATCTAACCAAAGTATTAGACATTGGTTATCTCCTTGTGGTGGTAAATGGGTGGTTGTAGTTATTTTTTTTTAAAGATTTTATTTATCTACTTGACACAGAGAGAGATACAGCTAGAGAGGGAACACAAGCAGGGGGAGTGGGAGAGGGAGAAGCAGGCTCCCCACTGAGCAGGGAGCCCGATGTGGAACTCGATCCCAGGACCCTGGGATCATGACCCGAGCCAAAGGCAGATGCTTAACCAACTGAGTGCCCGGGTGGTTGTAATTATTATTACTATTGTTGTTTTATTGATTTTCATCTAACTGCACTTCCTAATCTTTTCAGAACAAATTGTGTTGTTTAGTTAGTAAGTTTTTTTTAGCAAATACTTTATTTTCTTAAAAGATTTGTCTATTTCAGAGAGAGAGTGTAAGTGGGAAGGGGCAGAGGGAGAGGGAAAGAAAGAATCTTTAGCAGACTCTGAGCACAGAGCCCAGTGTGGGGCTTGATCCCACGACCCATGAGATTAGGGCCAGAGCTGAAACCAAGAGTCAGACACTTAACTGAAAAGCTACCTAACCATACTTCTACATCTACCTCCAATCCCAACCATACGATGGTAGTAACATTCATACTCTTATTTTCTTAAGTCATCAAAGCATTTTGTCTGAATGAAATCATGTGGTTCATATTAAGAGGAGACATTGTCCAAAATCATATCTTGGGAAATGTAATGTAACTACAAAGTAACTCTGTGCAAACCAGGCCACTGTATAGGAATTTAAACTTAGTTCATTCATTTCTCTTCTTTTCCCAGTATTCTTGTAGGTGAACCAGTCCAGTGAAGCTCTAGAAGATTCAGTTGGGCAGAGTATGCTATTTGCTTACAACAAGGAAGTACCCATGAATTAAAATTAAATTGTCTTCCATCTTAAACTATCTTTGTATTTATTTTCTCCTTAAAAACACTGAGAAATGCTGATGTGCACACAGGCACAGAAATTTGTTCACATGGACAGTCTTTCACTGTGCGTGCTATTTTGTAGCCTACTGTTTTTTTCACTATATGACAAATCATGGATATCTTTCCATGTCAGTAAATGTATGTCTATATCATCGTAAGCGGTTGCCTAGTATTCCTTGCAGTGGATATGACGTAAGTCATTTAACCACCCCCCTTTTTCCAATAATTACTTAGGGTGTTTCTACTTGTCTA